GGAGAAATTTCAGATGGATTTAAACACACTGGGGGAACTGGGCATCATAGTGGCAGATGTCATTTAGACTGGAAATAATACACATAATAAAGGATTCCTTGAGCTCTCATAACCCGTAGACGAATGGGATCTTAGCACTGAGTGCTATGAAGAAAAATCATAGGTGTCCTTGGAGAATATATCTGCCCAGAATACAATTGCACTTAAAAGAACAAGTAGGATGCTTGGGTACATTTAAAAAGAGAGAAAACCACACAAAAAATAAATATATAACAATATATTATTCAATGGCATCCCTACCCTAGAAGGAGTACATCAAAATTTGATCAATTAATTTTAAGACAGCTGAAAAGGTCAGTGAAAGCTATTAGATATATGTTGGGATTTATACATGAAAGACTGCAAACATCAGGAGTGTTGATAGAAAAGGAGATGCAGAGGCACAATTAAGGTACATTATTCTCAATTATTTAACATTTGAGTACAAACTGACAAACTCCTCTTTTTTACTCTTTTTACAAACTCCTCTTTTTTCAGAGTGGTAGCCGTGTTAGTCTGTATCAGCAAAAACAACGAGGAGTCCTTGTGGCACCTCAGAGACTAACACATTTATGTGGGCATAAGCTTATTTTTTACTTTTTTACTCTGTCTCATAGTACAAGAACAAGAAGATATTCAATACAATTGAAAAACAGTGCAATAATAGTTGATCAAATGTGATGCTTCAAGATATAAATTCATCAAACATGGAATTTTCCCATCCGTTGCATGTACAGCATTATGAAAGTAGACAGATACATTATTGAGGGTGTGGGAGTTGGTATGTTTCTCCTTCTTCCAAAGCATTATGTATTGGTTTCTGCTGGAAGCAGAATTAGCCAGATTAATTAAGATGATTCATGACAAATGTATTTTCTGTAAATAAAATTTATTTCTTGTGCTGTATGAGATTGACTATAGAATTCACACACAAGAGTTCTTCATTGTTTATTCAGCATTGTTTGATCAACATTTTCCATTGTACTGTACATGACCTTTAAAAGTAAATATGGGTGGGTCAAGAATTAGTATAGTCAAACAATGACCTTTCTAAATTAGAGCTCACAGTTTATGGACCTGACTCTGATTTCACTTACATTGGTATAAACTGGAAGCAACTCCACTTTAGTTACTGGAATCAGTCCTAGGAAAAATTAATGATCGTTCGATCAGAAGCAGGCCAATTTGTACAAAAGGGCAAACAATCATTTTTAAAAGCTAGTTTTCACTTAAACAAAACGCCTCAAGTCTCCTTTGCCTGCTGAATACGTAGAACAGCTATGCAAATTCACCAGTGGTATCAGCTTCACACATTTTCCTTAGCATACATCATTCAAGAGGATCTCAGCATACTGTTGTATTCAGCATCAGTAAGAAAACACTGAAATAGAAAGGCTGGGTATTGCAGCAAGGCCAACATTAAGATAACATTCTTTCAGAATTATTATTACAGGCAGAGCTGGTAGCAATGACTACAGTTAAGATTGTCTAAACACTCTGCATTATAAGATCCTGTTTGCAACTGCTTATAACTTTGTCAAATTTTAACCACTTGAGCTGAAATTTTTCATGCTGGGTGTCTGGCTTAGGCTGAATTTGTTAAAGGTTTCAGCAAAAGTGGTTTAGCTGTCCCTAAGAATGGGGTTAGAGGAAAAGACACTGTTTTTCCAAAGTAAGAAAATTACTACAACTGTTTCACTGAGAAGCTCTATCACCTCTATGCTTTGGAGTGTGGCTGGAAAGTCACTCTGGAATCAGATGTACCTACTGCTATCCCCAGGAAAGTCCATCCAAATTTAGCTGAGTTATAATAAGCCTCTGAAAATCATTGTTTGCACATACTCAGCAGATGTTGTTAGAAGGTGGCAGCAAAATTCTCAAAAGATTCTATCTGCACTGAGCATGTTCTATGCCAGGACAGCAAGTGCTTGGGAAGGCTCTCCATGAAATTGCTCCTCCTGGCTGCCAGGAGCCACTGGAGCAGAACTTTAGAATTGAGAGCAGAGAGTCAGTGGCAGAGGAGGAAAGCAAACTAGAGTCCTAGCCACTGGACCATTCTTCCTTCCTCCCACAACAATCCCTGATATGCTAGTATGCACCTTGTCCATAGAAATGGGGGCACTGTATGTGAAAATGTGGGTAGAGTAGTAGGAAATAATGATAGGTAGTCCATGTGGGTCTCAAAAAAGATATCTACAAAAAACACTATGCAACTTACTGCTATGAAAGGAAGCAGTAACTTCTACAGTTTACACACTATGGGTATGTCTACACTACGAAATTAGGTCGAATTTATAGAAGTCGGTTTTTTAGAAATCGGTTTTATATATTCGAGTGTGTGTGTCCCCACAGAAAATGCTCTTAGTGCATTAAGTGCATTAACTCGGCGGAGCGCTTCCACAGTACCGAGGCAAGCGTCGACTTCCGGAGCGTTGCACTGTGGGTAGCTATCCCACAGTTCCCGCAGTCTCCGCTGCCCATTGGAATTCTGGGTTGAGATCCCAATGCCTGATGGGGCTAAAACATTGTCGCGGGTGGTTCTGGGTACATATCGTCAGCCCCCCGTTCCCTCCCTCCCCCCCGTGAAAGCAAGGGCAGACAATCATTTCGCGCCTTTTTTCCTGAGTTACCTGTGCAGACGCCATACCACGGCAAGCATGGAGCCCGCTCAGGTAACCGTCACCCTATGTCTCCTGGGTGCTGGCAGACGCGGTACGGCATTGCTACACAGAAGCAGCAACCCCTTGCCTTGTGGCAGCAGACGGTACAGTACGACTGGTAGCCGTCATCGTCATGTCTGAGGTGCTCCTGGTCGCCTCTGTGAGGTCGATCAGGAGTGCCTGGGCAGACATGGGCGCAGGGACTAAATTTGGAGTGACTTGAGCAGGTCATTCTCTTTAGTCCTGCAGTCAGTCCTATTGAACCGTCTTATGGTGAGCGGGCAGGCGATACGGACTGCTAGCAGTCGTATTGTACCATCTTATGCCAGGCAGGCAAGAGATGAAGATGGCTAGCAGTCGTACTGTACCATCTTCTGCCGAGCAGCCATGAGATGTGGATGGCATGCAGTCCTTCTGCACCGTCTGCTGCCAGCCAAAGATGTAAAAGATAGATGGAGTGGGTCAGAACAAGAAATAGACCAGATTTGTTTTGTACTCATTTGCCTCCTCCCCTGTCTAGGGGACTCATTCCTCTAGGTCACACTGCAGCCACTCACAGAGAAGGTGCAGCGAGGTAAATCTAGCCATGTATCAATCAGAGGCCAGGCTAACCTCCTTGTTCCAATAAGAACGATAACTTAGGTGCACCATTTCTTATTGGAACCCTCCGTGAAGTCCTGCCTGAAATACTCCTTGATGTACAGGCACCCCCTTTGTTGATTTTAGCTCCCTGAAGCCAACCCTGTAAGCCGTGTCGTCAGTCGCCCCTCCCTCCGTCAGAGCAATGGCAGACAATCGTTCCGCACCTTTTTTCTGTGCGGACGCCATACCAAGGCAAGCATGGAGGCCGCTCAGCTCACTTTGGCAATTAGGAGCACATTAAACACCACACGCATTATCCAGCAGTATATGCAGCACCAGTAGCTGGCAAAGCGATACCGGGCGAGGAGGCGACGTCAGCGCAGTCACGTGAGTGATCACGACATGGACACAGATTTCTCTGAAAGCATGGGCCCTGCCAATGCATGCATCATGGTGCTAATGGGGCAGGTTCATGCTGTGGAACGCCGATTCTGGGCTCGGGAAACAAGCACAGACTGGTGGGACTGCATAGTGTTGCAGGTCTGGGACGATTCCCAGTGGCTGCGAAACTTTCGCATGCGTAAGGGCACTTTCATGGAACTTTGTGACTTGCTTTCCCCTGCCCTGAGGCGCATGAATACCAAGATGAGAGCAGCCCTCACAGTTGAGAAGCGAGTGGCAATAGCCCTGTGGAAGCTTGCAACGCCAGACAGCTACCGGTCAGTTGGGAATCAATTTGGAGTGGGCAAATCTACTGTGGGGGCTGCTGTGATGCAAGTAGCCCACGCAATCAAAGATCTGCTGATATCAAGGGTAGTGACCCTGGGAAATGTGCAGGTCATAGTGGATGGCTTTGCTGCAATGGGATTCCCTAACTGTGGTGGAGCTATAGACGGAACCCATATCCCTATCTTGGCACCGGAGCACCAAGCCGCCGAGTACATAAACCGCAAGGGGTACTTTTCGATAGTGCTGCAAGCTCTGGTGGATCACAAGGGACGTTTCACCAACATTAACGTGGGATGGCCGGGAAAGGTGCATGATGCTCGCATCTTCAGGAACTCTGGTCTGTTTCAAAAGCTGCAGGAAGGGACTTTATTCCCAGACCAGAAAATAACTGTTGGGGATGTTGAAATGCCTATCTGTATCCTTGGGGACCCAGCCTACCCCTTAATGCCATGGCTCATGAAGCCGTACACAGGCAGCCTGGACAGTAGTCAGGAGCTGTTCAACTACAGGCTGAGCAAGTGCAGAATGGTGGTAGAATGTGCATTTGGACGTTTAAAGGCGCGCTGGCGCAGTTTACTGACTCGCTTAGACCTCAGCGAAACCAATATTCCCACTGTTATTACTGCTTGCTGTGTGCTCCACAATATCTGTGAGAGTAAGGGGGAGACGTTTATGGCGGGGTGGGAGGTTGAGGCAAATCGCCTGGCTGCTGAATACGCGCAGCCAGACACCAGGGCGGTTAGAAGAGCACAGGAGGGCGCGGTACGCATCAGAGAAGCTTTGAAAACCAGTTTCATGACTGGCCAGGCTACGGCGTGAAAGTTCTGTTTGTTTCTCCTTGATGAAACCCCCCGCCCCTTGGTTCACTCTACTTCCCTGTAAGCTAACCACCCACCCCTTCTCCCTTCAATCACCGCTTGCAGAGGCAATAAAGTCATTGTTGCTTCACATTCATGCATTCTTTATTCATTCATCACACAAATAGGGGGATGACTACCAAGGTAGCCCAGGAGGGGTGGTGGAGGAGGGAAGGAAAATGCCACACAGCACTTTAAGCACAGCACTTTAAAAGTTTACAACTTTAAAATTTATTGAATGACAGCCTTCTTTTTTTTGGGCAATCCTCTGTGGTGGAGTGGCTGGTTGGCCGGAGGCCCCCCCACCGCGTTCTTGGGCGTCTGGGTGTGGAGGCTATGGAACTTGGGGAGGAGGGCGGTTGGTTACAGAGGGGCAGCAGTGGCAGTCTGTGCTCGAGCTGCCTTTGCTGCAGATCAACCATACACTGGAGCATACTGGTTTGGTCCTGCAGCAGCCTCAGCATTGAATCCTGCCTCCTCTCATCACGCTGCCGCCACATTTGAGCTTCAGCCCTGTCTTCAGCCCGCCACTTACTCTCTTCAGCCCGCCGCCTCTCCTCCCGGTCATTTTGTGCTTTCCTGCACTCTGACATTATTTGCCTCCACACATTCATCTGTGCTCTGTCAGTGTGGGAGGACAGCATGAGCTCGGAGAACATTTCATCGCGAGTGCGTTTTTTTTTCTTTCTAAGCTTCACTAGCCTCTGGGAAGGAGAAGATCCTGTGATCATTGAAACACATGCAGCTGGTGGAGAAAAAAAAAGGGACAGCGGTATTTAAAAAGACACATTTTATAAAACAGTGGCTACACTCTTTCAGGGTAAACCTTGCTGTTAACATTACATACATAGCACATGTGCTTTCGTTACAAGGTCGCATTTTGCCTCCTCCCACCGCGTGACTACCCCCTCAACCTTCCCCCCTCCCTGTGGCTAACAGCGGGGAACATTTCTGTTTAGCCACAGGCAAACAGCCCAGCAGGAATGGGCTCCTCTGAGTGTCCCCTGAAGAAAAGCACTCTATTTCAACCAGGTGACCATGAATTATATCTCACTCTCCTGAGGATAACACAGAGAGATAAAGAACGGATGTTGTTTGAATGCCAGCAAACATACACTGCAATGCTTTGTTCTACAATGATTCCCGAGTACGTGTTACTGGCCTGGAGTGGTAAAGTGTCCTACCATGAAGGACGCAATAAGGCTGCCCTCCCCAGAAACCTTTTGCAAAGGCTTTAGGACTACATCTAGGAGAACCGCAAATGCCAGGGCAAAGTAATCCTTTCACATGCTTGCTTTTAAACCATGTATAGTATTTTAAAAGGTACACTCACCAGAGGTTCCTTCTCCGCCTGCTGGGTCCAGGAGGCAGCCTTGGGTGGGTTCGGGGGGTACTGGCTCCAGGTCTAGGGTGAGAAACAGTTCCTGGCTGTCGGGAAAACCGGTTTCTCCGCTTGCTTGCTGTGAGTTATCTACAACCTCCTCCTCATCATCATCTTCTTCGTCCCCAAAACCTGCTTCCGTATTGCCTCCATCTCCATTGAAGGAGTCAAACAACACGGCGGGGGTAGTGGTGGCTGAACCCCCTAAAATGGCATGCAGCTCATCATAGAAGTGGCATGTTTGGGGCTCTGACCCGGAGCGGCCGTTCGCCTCTCTGGTTTTCTGGTAGGCTTGCCTCAGCTCCTTCAGTTTCACGCGGCACTGCTTCGGGTCCCTGTTATGGCCTCTGTCCTTCATGCCCTGGGAGATTTTCACAAAGGTTTTGGCATTTCAAAAACTGGAACGGAGTTCTGATAGCACGGATTCCTCTCCCCAAACAGCGATCAGATCCCGTACCTCCCGTTCGGTCCATGCTGGAGCTCTTTTGCGATTCTGGGACTCCATCATGGTCACCTGTGCTGATGAGCTCTGCATGGTCACCTGCAGCTTGCCACGCTGGCCAAACAGGAAATGAGATTCAAAAGTTCGCGGTTCTTTTCCTGTCTACCTGGCCAGTGCATCTGAGTTGAGAGTGCTGTCCAGAGCGGTCATAATGGAGCACTCTGGGATAGCTCCCGGAGGCCAATACCATCGAATTGTGTCCACAGTACCCCAAATTCGAGCCGGCAACGTCGATTTAAGCGCTAATCCACTTGTCAGGGGTGGAGTAAGGAAATCGATTTTAAGAGCCCTTTAAGTCGAAATAAAGGGCTTCATTGTGTGGACGGGTGCAGGTTTACATCAATTTAACGCTGCTAAATTCGACCTAAAGTCCTAGTGTAGACCAGGGCCTAGTTGGTGCATAATTCAGACATTTTAGCTGCCTTAAGATCACACAGGTAATATGAATAATGTATATTGCCTTCAGGACAGCAAGGGAATCTTCGCACAAGGTAAAACTATTATTTCTCCAAACAGTGCGTCACATCCTGCCATTGTTCTATAGGAATTTGGTGTGACTCGATGCTAGTATAAAGCTCCTGGATTTATACAGGTTTTTAAAAGCAGTTTCAAAATACCAAAATCAGGAACCATTTACATGCCTCTTTAAAACTTTGAAGTTGTGACATTATGAGGTTACTGATACTGTAAATAACCTGAAAATATCAGTTAGAATGATAGTAAGATAGAGGGACTGAAGCTGGTGAGGTCTCTTGTGCTGGGGGGAGGGAGGGAGAATTAGTTCCTGTCCAGAAGTGCCACAGCAAATCACCACTATGGTAATTAACCAACTCCCTGGCTGCACCCCTTCCTGGTTGGTGCTGACCACTTTTTGAGCTACAATTGCTCTTTGCAGCACCTTCAACTCCCAGCTCAAGCCAGGTTCTAACAAATTTGTGCCCCTGCAATCTCCTTCCCTGATGAACAGATGCCAATATAGATAATAGCGCGATTATGGCCCAAACCATTACCTCAACAGTTTGTGCTATAAAAAGATAAATTAATTAGCATACCTGTATTAGTTGACAACTAAACACCACCAGGAAATTACTGTCCAGATATATGTTAAATCAATCAAATCAACTGTGAATCTTGTACTGGAAGACTCCAAATAACTCTTCCCCAAAGTGAATGTTTGAAAAAAAAGAGTCTGCTAAAGGTTCTGCGTACTCTCGATTTTATCATAGAAGACCTTTGCCTTGGTAAAAGTCCAACCTAGTCTGTGGGTGTGGTATTTAACCTATGTCAGTAAAAATGCAGAGAAGGAAAATGAAAGTGAAGATGTAGTAAGAATCTGAACTTCTTTGGCTTTTGAAATATAATAAATTACCTTCTTTTGCCATCTAAAAAATTTAACAATTAATTTTTTAAACTCTCTTTATATATTTGTTTCTTTTTCTTACAACATAAATAGTTACTGTCATTTTATCAGGTGAGGAGGTGCAGAAGGTGCAAAGGGTAAAATGGCAAAATGAAACACCTATTCCTCTTCTGGCTTTGTGCCAGAAGTTTTCTTAAAGCCATTAATTTCACTGACAGTTTTGCCTAAGGACTCAGTAAAACTTGAATCAGGAACTCCAGATTTGACCCAATAATATCACTCTGCTCTCATATAATACCTTTTAAAGATCTTGCAGCATTTTGCAGACATCAAGATTCAAATAACTTTGTGAGATAGGTGTAAATTATTATACCCATTTACAGATGGAGCTTTTTCTTGAAGTTTTTTGCCTTTGCATTACCACTGATGTGGCCCCATTGGTGGTATTAATGTGGCAGCTCTAGTCTATACATACTATACAGCATCACCAGTGCTTTTTACCCCCACTTTCTTTATCCCAGCTCAACTGCAAGTTTAGGTAACAGGATGGCAAAAAAGGCTGTGGCTGCCAGCACCTCATCAGCATTATGGCTTCCCCTTCTTGCTACCACAATTAGAGTTACCTGGGGGAAATTTTAAGAAAAAGCTCAAAATCACTAGCTGCAAATCCATATTGATTAACTTTCATGGTTTCTCTAAAATAAGACTAACAGTAGTTGGTGATCCACAGATGGAATCTCAGTTATTTTCAGTTGGTATGTATCAGGACAGATGTGGCACATAATAGGTAATATGTCTCCTTTATAGACCAAATGTCCGTTTTTTAAAAAATGTGATTATACTTTATTGACTATAAATAAAACACGCATTATAATTTACCTATAAAATCTAAATTTGACAGCTTACATAAATGAACAATTATAGCACAATTTGATTTAACCTACAAATAGGAAGATTATTATTTATCAATAATTATTGTAACTGATTATTACTATTATTTCTATTGTGATGGAACTTAGGCATCCCAGGCATAGACCAGGAATCTAGTTTGCTAAGTGCTGTACAAACACAGAACAAAACAATGATCCCTAATTCAAAGAGTTTACAACACAAGTACTACAATAAAAATGAATGCTTCTTCATAATCATCAGCATCAACCAGTGTACACCTTATTTCAGCCTGAATTTCTCCAGTTTCAAACTTCTAGCCATTGGATATTGTTATAACTTGGTCTGATAGATTGAAGATCACATTAGCAATTTTTTGTTCCCCATGAAGGCACTTACAGACTGTAATCAAGTTACTTCTTAACCTTCTCTTTGTTAAACTAGATAGATATAACTGCTTGAGTGTATGGTATGTTTTCCAACCGTTTAACCATTCTTGTGGCTCTCCTCTGAACCCTCTCCAATTTATCAATATCTTTCTTGAACTGAGGTCACCAGAACTGGACATGGTATTTCAGAAGCAGTTGCACCAGTGCCAAATAGAGAGGTAATATAACCTCCCTACTCCTACTTGATGATCCCGTTTATACATCCAAGGATCACATTAGCCCTTTTGGGACACAGCATCACACTGGGAGCTCATGTCCAGTGGATTATCTACCATGACCGCCAAGTCTTTTTCAGAGTCACTGTTTCCCCAGGATAGACTCCTCCATACTTTAAGTATGGTTACTCAGGTGTTTCCTTGTCTCTTCAAACAAGCAGAACTCTCCTGCACCTACCCACTAAGAAATCCTCTAGCCCCACTGACTGTCAGCTCTCAGTATTGGTCTTTGCTCTTGTGAATGGCTGTGCTAGTATAACACACCCCAATATACACAGCATTCATCCACTTACAGAGGGTGTGGAGGGAAGGGCTGCCAAACATCATGCATCTTGCCTGACACTCATACATTTGGCAGCCTGGTCACATTCGCCCTTATCCCAGCTTTGATGTCACACAGGTATGTAGCTAAAGTTCCTTCTCCTGGCTGCTGGGGAGCCACTGTGGTGCCAGGTTTTAGGCAATCTCCTTGCTTCCCCTCACTCATCCCCTGGTGAGTGTCTGGCCAATGTGGAGCCCAAGATATGAGGGAATTAAGAGGTGACAGGTGCTGTGTGCTGCTCGCAGGCAGGTAAAGGGACTGGGAAGAAATGGGGCTGAAAGGGGACACAATGGGGGAAAGGGACTGACAGAATAGGGACATAGGAACAGAATGCAGGAAGCTAATGGAGAGAGAGCAGAAGAGGGAAAGCTGCCCAACATTCCTCCACAGCCCACCCCCCCATACATCGAGGCCTTCCCTTCTTCCCCCGACTACCCATACAGGCTGTGCTGATCTCTCTTGCCCTTCCACCAATCCCTCTTCCAGAATCTTTCCCCCTCCACAGTCTACACCTGCAGCAATCCCCAATTTCTTCCAATACCCTATTCCCAATAGTTCCCCCATTATCCCCATCTGCCATGGATTACCCTAATCCCCCTGCTTTGAAGGCGTGTGAAAAGAAATGAATTATTTGCAGGTTAAAGCCGGTAACATATATAGACAAAATGAGTTATAGCTTATGGTTTCACAAGGTATAGTAATCTTTCAGCAGCGAATGTCTTTTAGGGCTAACCCAGGTTGACCCTGGGGATCTCTGCTTTTGTTTCCTAGCTCTAGCCTTGTGTGAGTCCAAAGAGTCCAAAAACCAGACTAGGAAATGCTCAGTGAGGTAACCCATTTGGTTATTAGTTTCTTTACTGATACGGAAGATCTTTGTTCAAAATCTAACTTCAATTTTCCCATGACATTGAGATTAAATTAAAATAAAGCATGCCAAAAATGTTAAGGATTTAGCTTGTACTAACAAACGCAAGGCTGTTTAGAGTTAACATTGCCACTGTGTCTTCAAGTCACCCTTTTATGCCTAGGGTGATCTTACATATAAAGTTTACTGCAATACTAGAAATGAGTAAAAGATGGAATGGCAGCCTCAACCCTAAATGTCCTTGCTTTTTTCAGCTTAAATTAGATTTATGCAGATACATTCTCTCATCATCATGAAGGTAGAATTATGCACTAACTCCCACTACTGTTAATAGGAATTTACAGCATACATATCATAGAGATATATATTGGGTAATGAGACAAACCCTAAGTTCTGTACTTAGGCATTAATTTCACTGAGAGTTTTGCCTAAGGACTCAGTAAAACTTGAATCAGGAACTCCAGATTTGACCCAATAATATCACTCTGCTCTCATATAATACCTTTTAAGGATCTTGCAGCATTTTGCAAACATCAAGATTCAAATACCTTTGTGAGACAGGTGTAAATTATTATACCCATTTTACAGATGGGTATAGTAAACCATACAATGCAGCCCAGCACTGCACAGCTAGTGCCAGAACAGAAAATGAAGCAGTAATGGCAGCCCCAAGTGCTCAAAAACCATGATTCAGCCTCTAAGCCCCCCTGCAAATCATGAGATTTATTTAAAGAATCATGAGATTTTTAAAAATAATAAATGCTGGGTTCTACTTGCTTTCTGTTTTCTGCGACTTGACATTACACTCAAATCACACTATCAATCTTTTGTCCACTACCACACAGGCTGAAAACTTAGTTTGGTGAGGGTTTTTTACAACAACAAACAAACTGAGATTCTTACATAACACCACAACTCTTGGAGCTGAGGCTTTTAGAGAGACACCAAATATTGTGAGACTCTTGATAAAATCATGAGAGTTGGCAACACAGCAAAAATCTTGACTTACCATCTGCTGTTCTACCCAGTAGACCATACTTCATCTTTAAATATCCCATGTCTAAAAGTGATGATACACCCCTTCATCTTATTCAATTCAAACATTAGCCTACCTCAGTCAAATATCACCTTGACCCCAACACATATATAATAAGAGGAGGAAAGTAATCAGAAAGGGAATAAAAGAAATTAAAACTAAACAGTAATACCTTCCCAAGGGTATCTAATAGTTGCTTGCCCAGGAAGTGCTTATCATAATACATTTCACAATCAATGTTTGTCGCTGCAAGAAGCAAATTACAATTACACACCTTTAGTGCTGTATAGATCATCTTTCCAGAGCTTCTTAATGGAATGTGAAATCCAGCAAACTACTGCAATTTACTTAATGGTACCTGTCTACAAAAGTTTTTCTGTAATTAAAATATCACATATTTCTTTAATGCCTTTTGCCAGCCAACAATCCCTTTCCTCCACATTCCCATGCCTCTATTTGCTCTAGATTCCGTGCTGTTTAAGCTTGTACCCAGTTAATGTTTTCCACTGAAGAATCTAGCCTTCCATACCAGTCATACCTTCAG